TTCAGGGAGTACTGTGAACAAAGGGTTCGAGGGCCAAAGGGGGGAGTCCTATTGGAGCGTAGGACGGGTTTAACTAAGTCCGAACGAGAGGGCTCGGTCAGCAACCTTGCCATGAACTCTCGAAGACGCCTGTGGGTTTGATTGGTCGACCCCATGGAGCCAGACCATAATGGCGGGCGCGAGGGGCCAAACAATGGCCGCTTGGTGCATGGAGAATGCATCATTCCTTTTTGGTTTGGTGACCTAGATACAGCAATGGGTATGCTATCGCATGCCGGTTTATGGACCGAAAGGTCTGGGTGGCCACTGCTCCAAGGAAGTCCTTAGTACCCTATGGAACTCCCGTAGACGCCTGTGAGCTGATTGGTCGACCCCATGGAGCTAGGCCATAAAGGCAGGCGCAAGGGATCAAACCAAATGGCCGTTCGGTGTGAGAGAAGGCATCATTCCCTTGGCTATGTGACTGAAAAAGGACCGGCTTACGGACCGAGAGGTCTGAAGGCTATATTGCTCCTAGAAAGTCCTTAGTACCCTAGGTAGCCCACTATCCAATGGAGTCCTTAGTATCCCAGGCCTTAATTCAAGGGATCATTTCTAAAGTCCTTAGTACCCCAAACCTTAGTTCAAGGAATCATTTCGAAAGTCCTTAGTACCCCAAACCTTAGTTCAAGGGATCATTTCTAAAGTCCTTAGTACCCCAGACCTTAATTAAAGGGATCATTTCTAAAGTCATTAGTACTCCAGACCTTAATTCAAGGGATCATTTCTGAAGTCCTTAGTACCCCAGACCTTAGTTCAAGGGATCATTTCGAAATTCCTTAGTACCCCAGACCTTAGTTCAAGGAATCATTTCGAAAGTCCTTAGTATCCCAGACCTTAGTTCAAGGAATCATTTCTAAAGTCCTTAGTACACCAGACCTTAGTTCAAGGAATCATTTCTAAAGTCCTTAGTAACCCAAACCTTAGTTCAAGGGATCATTTCTAAAGTCCTTAGTACACCAGACCTTAGTTCAAGGGATCATTTCTAAAGTCCTTAGTACACCAGACCTTAGTTCAAGGGATCATTTCTAAAGTCCTTAATACACCAGACCTTAGTTCAAGGGATCATTTCTAAAGTCCTTAGTACACCAGACCTTAGTTCAAGGGATCATTTCTAAAGTCCTTAGTGTCACAGACGTACAGACTTCGGTCTAGGTAGCCCACTATCCAATGGAGAGAGTCCTTACTATTCCAAACCTTAGTTCAAGGGATCATTTCTAAAGTTCTCAGTAACCCAAACCTTAGTGAAAGAAATCATTTCTAAAGTCCTTAGTAACCCAAACCTTAGTTCAAGGGATCATTTCTAAAGTCCTTAGTATCCCATGCGTGCAGACTTCGGTCTAGTTAGCCCACTATCCATTGAAGTCCTTAGTATCCTAGATCTTAATTCAAGGGATCATTTCTAAAGTCCTTAGTACTCCAGACCTTAGCTCAAGGGATCATTTATAAAGTTCTTAGTGTCACAGGCGTACAGACTTCGGTCTAGGTAGCCCACTATCCATTGAATTCCTTTGTACCCAATACGTAATCCACCAAAGAAACGCCCATCTACAACATTACAAAGCATTAAATTAGAGTATGAAGACAGCTTTCAAGACATTTGCATACTTGCTCAATCATAATGACAATGCAACTATGCAAAATTTCAGACACCTAGATAAACGGCATGTATGTTAATTTTAATCTTGTTTTTGAATGCATTATCATCATTATTGGCATTTCTTGTGTCGTTTTTGCATAATAAATAGATGTCTTAGATTCAAACTCGGACTTTGGGTGTATAATTACTATTTTTCAATTATGTATGTCCTAATACACCAGAAAAACATAATAAGAACTGAGGAACAAAAATTGTGTTATACAGTGTTATTTAAGAATACTTTCTACTTTTTATTGTATAGTAAAATTCTGGATTGTGTTACTATATTATAGAATGAATGACATTAATTTTTTGTTTTTATTATACCGTAAAGAGGTTTTTTATTTCAAGCATTATTCGTTGGACAAACATTCACTTGGAGAGATCTTGTTCAAAATCAGATTAATAGGTACCGCTCAGCAAGAGCAACCTAGTTCATGATAATTGAAACAGTGAATAATTTATAAAGGTTATTCACATATTAAACAAAATGTTAACGTGGGATTAAATCCCGGTACATAACTGTCGGGAATCAAGCGTGTTACCCTCTCATCCACCGACAGTATATATTGGAGAGATCCCGGGTGAAGCCAGATCATAATTTATAATTGTACATTTGTACAATTGTACAGTTTTAGCATCAGGCGGCGTTATATTTTCTTTATATATCGTTTCTCCTGTAGAAGGGCAGACAAGCCCGAAAGCTTGAGAAGATCAAAATAAAGATACTTATCTCCATAAACGTTTTATATTCTGATATCAGATATCCAAAGGAGATTTAAATTGATTCACATATATATATGGTATATAAAAATGTTATTTTATTTTAAAATTATAACTTTTTGAACAAACTCCTCTGCAAAGTCGACCTTCAAATGTCGCGGCTTTTCCTATATAAACCCATTGTTGCTGTTTCCCGTTGGCCGGCTCTTTCTGTAGATATGTAAATGTGATGTGTGATATGATTATGGTATCAAGCCTATAGAGCTTGTTGATGGTGTCTGCTGGGGATGAGTAGAGTTCATCAATGGATGAGCCAATACAGTCAATGATGCATTCTTCTTTCTTATCTCCACTCAATCATATCAGGGTATCAAGCTTGTAGAGCTTGTTGATGGTGTCTGCTGGGGATGAGTAGAGTTCATCAATGGATGAGCCAATACAGTCAATGATGCATTCTTCTTTCTTATCTCCACTCAATCATATCAGGGTATCAAGCTTGTAGAGATTGTTGATGGTGTCTGCTGGGGATGAGTAGAGTTCATCAATGGATGAGCCAATACAGTCAATGATGCATTCTTCTTTCTTATCTCCACTCAATCATATCAGGGTATCAAGCTTGTAGAGCTTGTTGATGGTGTCTGCTGGGGATGAGTAGAGTTCATCAATGGATGAGCCAATACAGTCAATGATGCATTCTTCTTTCTTATCTCCACTCAATCATATCAGGGTATCAAGCTTGTAGAGATTGTTGATGGTGTCTGCTGGGGATGAGTAGAGTTCATAAATGGATGAGTCAATATAATCAATGATGCATTCTTCTTTTTTATCTCCACTCAATCATATCAGGGTATCAAGCTTGTAGAGCTTGTTGATGGTGTCTGCTAGGAGTAAGTCTTCTTTCTTATCTCCACTCAATCATATCAGGGTATCAAGCTTGTAGGGCTTGTTGATGGTGTCTGCTGGGGATGAGTCTTCTTTTTTATCTCCACTCAATCATATCAGGGTATCAAGCTTGTAGAGCTTGTTGATGGTGTCTGCTGGGGATGAGTCTTCTTTCTTATCTCCACTCAATCATATCAGGGTTTCAAGCTTGTAGAGCTTGTTGATGGTGTCTGCTGGGGGTAAGTCTTCTTTCTTTTCTCCACTCAATCATATCAGGGTATCAAGCTTGTAGGGCTTGTTGATGGTGTCTGCTGGGGATGAGTCTTCTTTTTTATCTCCACTCAATCATATCAGGGTATCAAGCTTGTAGAGTTGTTGATGGTGTCTGCTGGGGATGAGTCTTCTTTCTTATCTCCACTTAATCATATCATGGTATCAAGCTTGTAGAGCTTGTTGATGTTGTCTGCTGGAGGTGAGTCTTTTTCTTATCTCCACTTAATCATATCAGAGTATCAAGCTTGTTGATGGTGTCTGCTGGGGATGAGTAGAGCTCAACAATAGATGTTACAATACAGTCAATGATGGGTTTTGGGGCTTGCAGTTGAGAATTTCACTTAGTACATAGTGGGAAAATCTTGCATCCATTCTGGAAAGTCATTGTCTGTAGAGGACCAGACTTAAATCTGTAAATTAAAGACTGTTGTTGCCTTGAGAGGACAGAATTGGTGTTTGTCTCTCCTACTCTGTACCAGTCAAGTACAGCAGTAGATTTCCATTCCTGCAGGCATTGGGTTTTGATGGTACGGAGGAGGTCTCTTTTGTCTAGTTAGGTGCTAGATTCTCTGGCCTCAGGTAGGCCAAGAGCTCCAGATTTTGTCAGAGAGTCTGATAGTTAATTTCCAGGAATTCCAACATGGGCTGGAAGCCATTGTATATTAGGGTTAATATATATATATAAATATACAAATAATATTTTAGTATTCAGGTATGTCATGCAACGCGTTGACCCATTCAATCATGAAATCTTCCAGCACTTTCCCAAGCATCAGATTGTTCTACCATTGTATATTTATTGCTGGATATCAGATAAAATTTAATCATGTTTGGATATCTGTGGAGTATTTAACAAGATTACCTAACCATTGCTATCAGAAATAGATCTACCCTATAAGTTCGATTTACTATGATAAAGTTTATTTCTAAATGGGGCGTGTTGCAATCGTTTAAATGTTCTAGATTCACTGAATTATCTAAAGTGTGTGGTCAATTGAATTAATGGCGAACTACCCGGGGAGTGGGGATGTGGGTCAGATAGGGAGTATATTGGGGCAGATAATGTACTCGGTATCATACCCCATCATGAAGTTCCTGGTAGGTACATGCTATTACTGTACTGTACTTTATAAAACAATATATTGCGGCTTATGATTGTAGAACGACATTTGAAAATTATCCCTCATGTGTTTCTTTTGAATGATAAATCGAAATTTATTTTAAGGAGAAATAAGATTATTTTTAACCTTAGGGATGAAGTATGAAAGGAAGAATTGTGAAGAGTAATGATAAACGGAAAAATAGTGTCCAGGGATGGGAATAGAACCCACAGTGTTCCGCTTACCGGGCAGATGCCATGTCCACTAGGCTACCCTGGACATATTTTTCCTTTCGTAAATATTATATAAAGTAATTCATGATACAATATAATGCGGTTTATGATTGTAGATTCGGGAATCGAACCCAGGCCGCCCGCGTGGCAGGCGAGCATTCTACCACTGAACCACCGATGCTTATAAGAAATTGCCATATTTGGGTATTTATTCCATTCACAAAAGCAAACGGTGACAGAATTGTTGATTACTCTGATAACTGTATATATTAATAACGGCCCACTATATCTACATATTTTCCTGTTTGCTCTATACTAAACTAAGTGTTGTGTGTATGGCAGAGATATTGGAAGATTCATCCAAGTGCTCATATTTTCCAAAAAATAGAAGAATTTATTATTGTAAAAAGTAAATAAATACTTTTGTATATAAAATGTTTTTTTAAATAAAAGTAGATTTTCCCATTGTATATTGATTGGTTATTGGATTTACATATATTTTCATTAATACAATTAATACATTCAATAATTACTTTAAAAGGTATTTAACTTTTTCTGTGAATTATCAAGGCTTCACAACGTTTTATTTTGAATACTAAGAAATCCTAGATAACAGAAAATATTTTAAATTTGATATTTTATGGAGTAGTTTTATAAAGTGTGTAACGAATAAATTTACTGGCAATGTGTTTCTTTTCATTAATATCATCAAATATTATCTCTACAGACCTTACTGCAATGATATAAGTTATTGAATGAGAGGGTGTAACAAATAAATTTACTGGCAATGTGTTTGTTTTCTATAATATCATCAAATATTATCTCTAAAGACCTTACTGCAATGTTATAAGTTATTGAATGAGAGGGTGTAACAAATAAATTTACTGACAATGTGTTTATTTTCAATAATATCATCAAATATTATCTCTACAGACCTTACTGCAATGATATAAGTTATTGAATGAGAGGGTGTAACAAATATATTTACTGGCAATGTGTTTATTTTCAATAATATCATCAAATATTATCTCTACAGACCTTACTGCAATGATATAAGTTATTGAATGAGAGGGTGTAACAAATAAATTTACTGGCAATGTATTTATTTTCGAAAATATCATCAAATATTATCTCTACAGACCTTACTGCAATGATATAAGTTATTGAATGAGAGGGTGTAACAAATAAATTTACTGGCAATGTGTTTCTTTTCAATAATATCATCAAATATTATCTCTACAGACCTTACTGCGATCATATAAGTTATTGAATGAGAGGGTGTAACAAATAAATTTACTGGCAATGTGTTTCTTTTCAATAATATCATCAAATATTATCTCTACAGACCTTACTGCAGTGATATAAGTTATTGAATTCAGTAAATATATTTGTTACGCCCTCTCATTCAATAACTTATATCATTGCAGTAAGGTCTGTAGAGATAATATTTGATGATATTATTGAAAAGAAACACATTGCCAGTAAATTTATTTGTTACACCCTCTCATTCAATAACTTATATCATTGCAGTAAGGTCTGTAGAGATAATATTTGATGATATTATTGAAAAGAAACACATTGCCAGTAAATTTATTTGTTACACCCTCTCATTCAATAACTTATATCATTGCAGTAAGGTCTGTAGAGATAATATTTGATGATATTATTGAAAAGAAACACATTGCCAGTAAATTTATTTGTTACACCCTCTCATTCAATAACTTATATCATTGCAGTAAGGTCTGTAGAGATCATATTTGATGATATTATTGAAAAGAAACACATTGCCAGTAAATTTATTTGTTACACCCTCTCATTCAATAACTTATATCATTGCAGTAAGGTCTGTAGAGATAATATTTGATGATATTATTGAAAAGAAACACATTGCCAGTAAATTTATTTGTTACGCCCTCTCATTCAATAACTTATATCATTGCAGTAAGGTCTGTAGAGATAATATTTGATGATATTATTGAAAAGAAACACATTGCCAGTAAATTCATTTGTTACACCCTCTTATTCAATAACTTATATCATTGCAGTAAGGTCTGTAGAGATAATATCTGATGCTATTATTGAAAAGAAACATATTGCCAGTAAATTTATTTGTTACACCCTCTCATTCAATAACTTATATCATTGCAGTAAGGTCTGTAGAGATAATATTTGATGCTATTATTGAAAAGAAACACATTGCCAGTAAATTTATTTGTTACACCCTCTCATTCAATAACCTATATCATTGCAGTAAGGTCTGTAGAGATAATATTTGATGACATTATTGAAAAGAAACACATTGCCAGTAAATTTATTTGTTACACCCTCTCATTCTATTACTTATATCATTGCAGTAAGGTCTGTAGAGATAATATTTGATGATATTATTGAAAAGAAACACATTCCCAGTAAATTTATTTGTTACACCCTCTCATTCAATAACTTATATCATTGCAGTAAGGTCTGTAGAGATAATATTTGACGATATTATTGAAAAGAAACACATTTCCAGTAAATGTATTTGTTACACCCTCTCATTCAATAACTTATATCATTGCAGTAAGGTAGAAGGGCGTCCGGGCCTGAAAGCTAGAGAATAAAAAGGTTTATAAAAGATACTTTTCCCTGGAGGAATGATTAATTCTACTCAATATTAATACACGGGAGTATTTTATAGAATTGTTAACTTTATAATTTTAACAAATAAAACTACTGAAAATCATTCTCAAATTTTTCATTTTGAATAGAGTTTGAATAATTCTCTAATATCTAGCATATTTTTATTCAAAAATATTCTTTAAAACCTTTTATTTTTTAATCTGTAAATTGCTTTTCTCGAATACACACAATACATTACAATTTGAATTCATTTAACTAAATTTGCATACCAACCCTTTGTACATATATCAATTGTGCTGATATATACACTGCGTGACATTGAAAATGGAACACCAAGAAATAGTGGCCAGAAAATAATGCAAATTTCAGGGTAGACGCGCCTAACTGAGTTATGCAAATGATGTAAAATGCGCAGCTCTCTTGCGCACATGGAGTAAGATATAAGGGAAGGAACTTGCAGAAAGGACAGTATTCGTGTCGTTATTTCTTCAAGGAAAATCCTTGTAGAAATTTTGTTCTTGTGTCAAAAGACACGTGTAATAACAGAGAATGCCAGGTCATCGTAAACGGAGGCAGTTCAAGCAGACAGACGCTTTTACGAGGGGCATGGTGATCGGACTGAAAAGGGCAGGTTGGTCCATACGTCAAATCGCAGCTGATACACACCTTGGTGCGTCCACGGTGCACCGACTGTGGAGAAGATGGTTGGAACAAGGAAATGTGGCAATTTATAGGAATGTCGGTGCAACCAGAGTGACGTCAGCACGTGTGGATCGGCGTATCCTTCGACAAGCAGTGGCGGCCCCACAAGCCACTTGTACCGCCATCCTGCAACATGTGCAAGACACCCTAGATCATTCCATCTCGACCAGAACCATTTCCCCTCGATTGGTTGCTAATGGCTTGCACTCATGCCGTCCGCTAAGAAGACTGCCATTGACCCCACCGAATAGGCGCCAACGTTTGGAATGGTGCCGGGCTAGATCGACGTGGATGACGGAATGGCACAGGGTCGTGTTCTCAGATGAGTCGCGTTTCTGCCTGTCCAGTGATAGTCGCCGTGTACGCGTGTGGCGTCGACGTGGAGAAAGGTCCAATCCGGCAGCAATTGTGGAACGCCCCACCGTGCGACAACGTGGAATCATGGTTTGGGGCGCAATCGCGTATGATTCCAGGTCACCTTTACTTCGTATTCAGGGCACTATGACGGCCCAACGATACGTTGATGATGTGCTGCGACCGGTGACACTCCCCTACCTTCAGGGGGTACCCAATGCCCTTTATCAGCAGGATAACGCCCGACCGCACACTGCTCGCATTAGCCAACAAGCTCTGCAAGATGTACAGATGCTTCCCTGGCCACCGTACTCTCCTGAACTCTCACCAATCGAGCACGTCTGGGACATCATTGGACGCCGTTTGCATGCCTTGCCACAGCCGCGTTCAGAAGACGAACTGTGGCAAATGGTTGAGAGGGAATGGAGAGCCATCCCTCAGGACGCCATCCGTACTCTGATTGACTCTCTACCTTGACGTGTTGCTGCGTGCATCGCTGTCCGCGGTGGTCCTACTTGCTACTAAGCCGACGCCGTTCTCGCTCTGTATTATGACTATCATTTTGAAATAAAGATCACTTATTGTTCGTCCCTGTCTCTCTCTGTCTGCCGAGTTTCATCACTTTCTGTCCACTATTTCTTGGTGTTCCATTTTCAATGTCACGCAGTGTATGTAGTAATCCCGAGTAAGCTGACGTGGAATGTACTGGGCAGTCGTGGTCGTGGGTGCGTGATGGGATTCCCGCACGGGGACAGCAAGAGACAGAGGCAGGTCTGGGTGGTAGCTCCAAGAGGTAGAAGTAGACCACGGACGAAGGCAGTCGAACCACGGGCGCCGCGGATGCCCTAAGCCTACTCACGGATAGAAGGGGGGGTGAGAGATCCGACCGACCGTATAACGGCGTCACTCTGAAAACAACTAATTTGTCTCTTTTCTGGGCCCTTTTATACTGAACTCCCGCATATGGCGGAGAGTCCTGATTGGTTCTTGTAATCACCCCACTTTCTTGGCGCCGGGTCATTGTCGCCGTTTGGTTTATGGCGTCGTCTGGTCTACCTTTACTTCTTTGTTTATTTGTCACTTCCATTGTTACAAGGTCGATACATATTTTTATATAGATATGGGGTTATTATAAATATCAGAAGAAGGTTGTGAACTATCTAACTCAAAATATACTACAGAATGTGTCCCCGGTGATGAAGGTTTGGTTGGGGGAATGACATGTAATGAATGATGACCTAACAAACCTAATATAAAAAATAAAAGAAATAATTTCTATACAAATTAGTTAAAATTATTATAAAGTTACAAGTTAAAAAGAGAAAAATGTTGTAATGGTGGTGTATCAATGAAATAAAAATCAAGGTTATAAAAATAAAAACGCACAAAATGAATGATAAAAGATTAAGAGAAAGTATATATTACAAAATGGTAAATATGGTAAAATGATTCGTACAAGGAAAATAATATCTTATTGCATAAAAGATGAGAGGAAAAAAA